GGCAGCAGCGGTGGTGAAGCGGGGTCCCCAGGCAGTAATCCAACTAACACAACAGGGGACTCTTCGACAGGAGATCAGACGTCTGCTGCAGCAGCGGCTAACAACTCCTCGCCAGCCGAAGGATCGGCAGGAACGACATCCGGCACTGGACACACACGACAAGAAAAAGAAGAAGAAGAGGAAGAGGAAGAAGAAGATAATGAAAAGCAGCAGCAAAGTGATGAAGCACAAGTCCAACAACATCAACAGCACGAACACCCCGCGGAAAATGGCGAAGAATCCGCGAAGGATACAAACGCCCTTCGTACAAATGCCACCGCAAATACAGGCGACAGTGACAGCAGCACCGCGGTCTCCCACGCCACCTCCCCTCTTTTGCCTCTTCTTCTTGTTGTTGCGTGTGCGGCTGCTGCTGCGGTGGTGGCCGCGTGAGAGTGAGTGAGAGAGAGCCATGCACCGCCCGCACACACACTCGTCCTTCTCACTCACTCTCTGTGTGTGTGTCCCCTTGCATGGACTCCCGCTCTCACCTCATCCCACGAGGCACACACATAATGTGCCCATTGTATATATTGCATGCACACCCATGCAGGCCCGTTGGTGCTCTCTTTTGCACGACACGCACCGCTGCCGTTCTGCCTGGCTGCATGGGCGGAGCACCGTAACTTTTGTTTTGTTTTGTTTTTGTTTCCATTGCATTGAGTGGGCGACCTCTCTCTCTCTCTCTCCCTGTTGGGCTTTACGGGAGCAATGAGAGTGTGTGCGCTGGTCGTCCCACACTTTTTCCTTCTTGTTTTTGTTTTTTTTTCATTGTTTTACTTGTGTTGTGGTTGAGTGCGTCCATTCCGCTTTTGTGATCGGCGGTTTGCATTGACTGTGGACGCCTGAATTTTTCATATTGTTTCCATATTGTTTTCATCCTGTTAAGGAAGTGTCAGCTACTCGTATCCTTCTAAAGCCGCCACGCTCTTTCTTCTACATACGCCATGCGTCAGTTGGTCCATGGCACCCCACAGTTGACTGAAGCGCTGCTGGTGCTGTTTGTGATGATGCCTGCGGTGTGATTGCTAGCGGATGTCTCGTTGTCACTCTGACGTATACTTGCGTCTTTGATTGTGTGGGGCGTCCGACGGCGCGTGGGCGTCTCTGGTGATAGTGAGGCACGTGCGTCCCAAAGCGTCGGATGCGTCGCAGGTGCACAGCGCCGTTTGGAATATCCGGTGGGTGTCTGTCCCCGTGAAGGCGTCCACAACGGCCCCGTATGACAGCAGGAGGCACTGCGGCGTCACTTGGTGTTGCGCAGCGACTTTATTTGACGATGCCTTTGATTTGCGTCTCTTGGGGTTTTAGTGGGGGAATGCGGGAGGTTGAGGGCATTAGGACTGAATTCATTTGAGTGGCTGCGTTCCATTGACTTGCGGCCAGTTGTGGCACTCTTTGGGGTTTGGCAGCCCGTCTCTTTTGTTTACTTCCCACCACACCACGTGGATAACACTGATCCGAGGAACATTTGTCTGAGTGCGTGTGAGCTGCTGCCGTGCGTGGTGCGTGGACTATTTGATTGTGTGGGGAGGTGCATGGAGTGACGAATACTTCTGTTTGGCGTGTCGCGGTGTGTCGGAATGATGTTCGGATGACATGTGAAGGGTGTCGCTTGTAAATTGTGTGCCTTCTCTGGTGGAGCCGACATGTGTGCGGGGATTGTGGCATTGCTGGCTGGCAGCTCCACGTCACTTTTCGGCATTCCTGGATGTGCTGAGGAATGACGGCTGGCGACCAGCGTGTTGGTGCTGCTGGTGGGAATAAATGCATTTGGAATTGGCCACTTTCTCTTTTCTGTTCTGGAGCCGATGAACTGGCACGAGGGCACCGGCTGCAGGCTGCCTGCCAGCACGTGTGAGCAGCGGATCCATGCACACACAGACGCTCATCGCAAGAGCTTGTGCGATCACAGTGGCCTTTTGTGGTGTGCTTTTATGGACGTCAGCCCACCGGAGAATGTGTGAAGCAAACGGCTGACTGCACACGAGGAAAATAAGTGCGTGCACTGTGCCGTGTTTCAGCGTCGATGGCAGGGCGGCAGGAAGTCCGTGCTGGCAATCGAGATCTTTGCGTCGCGAGGGATGTCGGTGTTGATTTTGTGTCGTCGAGGGTGAAGTGATTTTGCTGCTGCCCGTGTGTGTGGCCACTCCGGCAGAGGGCGGACACAACAGGGAGGATGCAGGCGCTGCGTGTGTGTGTGTGTGTGCGGGTGCCATGCAACAACGTCACAACAAACATGCTGCGACTCGGTGACCCTCACATCGTTGTGGTCCTCACGAACAGCCGAGGCACGGCCCACACCGATGCACTTAGTGGACGGAGTGAGGCATCTTTTGAGGCGCTGCAGGGAACAGGATGTGTTGGCGCAGCCACGACGTGCATGGAGTGTCACGATGGCACAGTCAGCTGTGGCTGGTGGAATGTTTACTTCTTGGAGGCAACAGAGAGAGAGAGGGAGAGAGCTGCTCCTGCTGCTGGCGTCGTTGCTGCCTCTTGTGGCCTCCCATGCCGATTATTTTCAGTTCGCCGATCATGGGTGGTGTGCCTCCACTAGTGACGTCGTCTGCAGGCATTTCACAGCACCAGTGAAACACACATCACGTCGCATGCTTTGGCTGTGGATATGGTGTCGTGAGTGCAGCCGGCATTGTTTTGCCCGACTCCTTTTCACTGCTTTGCGACCAATAGATGCGTCCCCGCTCGAGTCATTCACTGCAGCTCCGTGTGTTGTACTCTGCCAGCACAAGACTCTCCTGTTGTGTGTCGCCTGGCTGACAGTCCAACACCACTGCGTTGGGACATGCAAGGATGTGGACTGCCGCTCACGGTGTTGGGCACCGCTGTTTGGATGCGGCAGCCACACGAGCGGATGTATTGTGGCACATTCAAATGCGTGAAATACGCGGAACCACAGCGGCTGCAATAATATCAACGGTGTGGCACCACGGAATATGTGAAAGAGGGTGATGCAGGATGAATCACAGTGGGCGGCATGCGAGGGAAGTGCACCGCGACAGAGCGTCATCCCGCCCTCAGCCTGCAGGAGAATGTGCACCCAGAAGAATATATGGACGAGACGCCACCAAACACACATGCCCTTCCATGCACCAATAAATAAGGGCGAAGGTGCGTCCTGGTGTGTGGGAGTCCACTCAAATATTTTCATTTCCACCGCAATAAACGGTGAGGAATCAGGTGTCACAGCGACGGAAGGGAAAACAAACGTCTATTGCAACAATTTGACGGCGAGAAGCAGGAAGAACAAAAACCGAATTGTTGGCTGCACTTCCCGTGGACCAACAATCCACGTGGTGTGCGGGGATCATTCTCTTTTTACTGTTACTTTCTTTTGTGTTGCTGTGTGCGCTGCACCTCCTCTTGTGTGTGTGCGTACCCTCCGTGAGGGGTGCCGACACGACGGACCGCTCTCGCCGTATGCACATGCGGTGGAGCCTTGTGTGCCGCTCCTGTTTGCTTCTCCCTCCTCCATCTGTGTGTTGGTGTTGCGGCATGGCTGTGTGTGTGTGCTGCCTGCTGCCGTGGATTGGAGTGTGTGTCGTGCGTGGTGTGCGGCGTACGGTGCATGCCTGGCTGCTGCCCTCTCCTCATGTGGTGTGCCCTCTGTGTGTGTCTGCCGCACCTCTCGACTCCCCTGTTGCTCTCCATGTCCCTCACTGTGCAGATCAGCTCCACACCACTGAACGACCACACTCACGATGATGATGTGCCGTCTGCTGTGCGCCCTGTTGGTGCTTGCTCTGTTTTACTTCTCTTCCGCGCGAGCTACAGCAAGCGAGGTTAAACCTGAACAAGAAGTTAATGTAAAGGTTACTGTTTCAGAAGTGCTAAATGAGCTCGGTGGGGAACATAATTCGGATACGGATGTTGATGAATTACGGTCAGGAAAAACGGCGTCCGGAACGGGACATAATGCAAATGG